TCTCATCATCTACAGACTACTTGAAATTACAATGGTAATATAGTTGATAACAACAGAGAAGAGATACTTTAAAATTAAAGCATCCAAAACGAAAACATTACAATGTTTAGTGTAAGTTTTCATCACCAATTTATACGTTTTCAAAGTTGAACGAAAGTTGCAAGGGTAAGACAGAAAACAGAAAAATTAATCAACAGAAGAGTGTTAGCTTGCAGGTTCACACAGCAACTCAAAAAACAAAAGCGGTTACAGCTTATGCGATCACGATTTGTTCAGTGAGTTGAGATCCCTGAATGAGATGACTAATTCATGTAATCAAAATGAAAATTCAGTTACTAAGGCAGTGAGAGGTAAATCACACTCTCTTTCCGTATGCATATGTCTGGTTTAAATCGATTGATTGCGATCGCTTCGGCAAATCGTAGTAAATTTGCTGTCATTTGTCTATTCAATATTTTGAAGAACGAAGAAATCTCTACGAGATGTCCGGTATCAACAGAATGTCTGGTATTTGCACTTTTCCTTCTCAGGTACAGATTTCTTTGAATATGTTCAGAAAACCGGATGGAAGCACTTCTTTCCGTCCTTCCGATGTACTTGCTCCCAAAAGTACACGTGAATTCATAAACGCAGTTGGAGGTGACATCAGCTGGGTAAATATTCAGTTTTGAGTGTCTTATAGAAATAGTGATGTTGTTTAATGTTATGAGTTTTTCTGCCAGGATGCTTCTTTTTATTGCACCTTTCTGTCTTTTGTTAACCCTTTGTGACACTGCATCACTTTTGAATGAAAGACAAATAGACTTTTTTCTTTTCTACAGTTAGGTGTTTATCTTTCTTATCTTTTTCTCTGCTACACTCCTGTATAAATTCCTCAGGGTATCCATTCTCTCTTTGGCATTTCTCGACGAAATCTAATTCTTCTTCGACCTTGTTAAGTGAACATAGCTTCCTGGCTGTGTCGTAAAAAGTCCCCACTAATCCGGGTTTCTAGCTAGTGGAACCAAAGCTGTTAAAGTGAAGATATTTTCCAGTCCAGGTTTCTTTTCTATAGATGGACTTTTCGATCGTGCTTTCGTGTGTTCTTTTCACAATTAGATCCAGGAAATTGAAATCATTGTTATGTTCATATTCCATTGTGAATTTGATGTTTGGATTGGTCTCATTTAGGCGGTCATATAGTGTCGATGCGTGATCCATTTTGTTGAAAACAATAAATATGTGCATACACAGTCATATTTGATGTTGTTTGTTTTCACACGAATAATCTTTAGTAGAAAATGCTGTGATGAGGTTTTTTTTGACAATTTCATTTTAGACAACTCTACATTTGCAATTATTACCGATCAGTTACAAGGACTTTTCAATAGTTTACAAAAATTTGGAAAAAAGTAGAATTATTGCAAAGATGTGAGGATTAGTGGGTGTTTGTCAATTATGATTGACCTATTGTAAGCGCAATATAAACGTTTAACGAGTGATATTTTACCAAAAGTAGAATGGAGACAGAAAACAGATGAAGTTAGATAAGAAGTGAAAGGTTTTCTTATTTTATTATTACTTTGTACTTAATTTGTAGTGAAGAGTTTAAGGTCCGTCAGAGAGTGTATTGTCAACAAGTTTTTTTCGTAAACATAGTTTTGGCTTCCCTATTTCATTAATTAAAATCTCAAAAATATGCAGGAGGCAAACTAGAAATGAGTACAACAGATTATGAGTACACGTGAAGACAACTTCAAACGGATAGGTTGTAGCATATTAGTATACGCATGCATTATTTCGTTAGTAGACGTTTTCGGTTACCACTCAATTCATGGTATGTATCCTGAAAGTAGCGCAACTACATTTCCGTCTTTTTCTTATCTTCACCCTACTTACTTCAAACATTTTAGTTATTATCTCACTTTCGATGTACAATTCAATTAAACATTCAGCACTCCATCAGGTTACACGAACCATTCTCCAGGCTTACTCTCGCAAGTTGCTTTCACTAGGTTCAGAATATATATTCATCTCTTGACAACATCTTCATTTTCTCTGCAGAACGTTGTTTGATATTTTAACAAAATCGGGTAAAAAGTGAATATATATCATGCATTTCAATCAAACTGCGTAACAATTAAAATGTTTGCATGTGTGTGTGCACACACGTACACATATACTTGTGAGTATTCACATCATGCACATAAAGGATGAAGCAAACATACATACAAATATGTAAATATTTTGATTTTGTGGTAATATTCTACTAAATCTTGATCACAGTTCATATCAAAAATACGCTCAAATGACTTGAAAACCAATTGAACACTAGAACCTTGATAAACACACGTTGCAGACCATATATAGCCAAACATATAATTGATAAGAAGACACTGTGGCTGCTGTCAGTACGGACCTTAGGATTTTCTATAAAAGCCGTTAAGATTGCTATCTGAAATACGCTGAAGTGATAGCCACCCAGTGTGTTTGTGTGTGCAATAAAAATCCATTGTTACCCTTAGCCTCTTTTGGTGATCCTTATCTAATGATACTCCTTAGAACAGTGTTAATAATTACCACCATTACTATGCTTAAACTCCTTATCATTGTGATTATCTGAATTTGTATCTCATACAAACATTTTGCAGACAAACTGATTTTAACAACTAAAGTTTTGTTTTATCCGGTTGTTCAAAATGTATTACACATATTCGTAACATTTTTTCTGATAAATACCGTAACAACACAGTCAAAGTTAATTTCAAAATAGCTTTTATCTCGAATCGACATCATTTTGAAACCACTAATTTGAAGTAAGCTTTTCTGTGCTTTCAATTTTTAATTCATCCATTCAACTAGTCCATCAGCACTCTCTCAAGCTAAACAATCCATTCCACGAAACCTATCGTATGCATTATTATTATTAAAATTGGATTACATATTCAGGTATTTATGACACCTGCATCCCAAATCCAGTATTTTACCGTCAGATGTGCATACTGAAATACTCTGAGACGATAGACGTTAGTAAAACAGCGACATTCCTTACCTAGTTTGCAATTAAGATTCTGAACCAACTGATGGGATTTTCCAGATACGGCTGCTAAAACCATGTGCAGCATCCGCTCTTTTCTTGGGCGTTAGGTTGCACCGAACAGCTTTTTTGTCGTAGTTGTTAACTTTTTAGCGGTACGTAGCTACTATATTAATGGCTGGATGACTGACACATCGTTATAGTCATGTTTGCACACTGATGAAGTATCCGTCTAGCCTGATGAAACGCACATTGAAGTTGGTCAGACTGATTGATTTATGTTTTCTCCTGAAATACTAAGTGATGCAATGATTAATCTAAACTTTACGTGTTTCTTTCCTGAATTCTACCACTTATGTTTTCATATCATAAAAAGTCTCAGTCTAAAATGTCGTTCCGAAACAAAAATCAACGAGGTCCTTCAGCAGTTATTTCGTTCGAATCCAGTCAATTCATTATTGTAGGTTGATTTATCAATGAAGTGAGAGCAGTATCGACTTCATTAACAGGCCATACGTCTGCATGATTTGTGAATACATTACAAACAACTTCATCCAAGTTTACCATATGCCATTATACCAACAGTGAATAACTAACTACTCATCTGCAAAGATTCAGCAGAAATGATGTAAACTACGTCAATTTATTTATCACAGTTCAGTTGAATTCAAACCAAATTATGTGGTATTCACCTGGAGAAGAACATCAAAGAACTCACTCCGGCATGACAAGCTCTGTAGTTTAAAGGATTCAATTGACCTAATTAGACAAGTCAATATAATTTAGAAATACCTTGTAGTGAATGTGGGTTAAGTCAACATTGTAGGTAAAACTAGCAGATCGGGGGTAGTCAGATTGTCGGAACATAATTTAGTTAAGGTTAGAATGGTTGACTCCTAGAAGATAAATAATTTAGAAGAAAGGTCACAAGTAACATAGATAAGTGGAGAGAGGGAGAGTGAGATTACTTAATCCTTGTTCATTGGGTTTACACTCAACACGTGCAAAACGAATGACTCGTCACTGATACCGGATAAATGGAAAATACCACTATCAATCAACGAAAATCATGAAAAATCATGGGATTATATAAACGCGGTTAGAAATTTGTGTGAGAAGCTTAATATAATTATGAGCAGTAATAAACTCTACCACAGTGCACTACTTCTGTTCTTGCATTCAGACCAAATGCCTTCTTTAATTTGATTCCGTGATCTTTCGGAATGCAGAGCTGTGACTTTTAAAAAAGATAACTGGAAGAGAACTACATGCTGGCATTATAGAGTAAATCGCTATTCCACTGCAGTCATCGTTGTCAGCCATTTCTAAGCATTCACTGTGAAAGTGATGTGTTAACTGTCGAATCGTCTGTCCACCAGTCCCAGAGTTTCTCTTTACATCGCCTTCTGTCTTGATAAATAAAACTTTCCACCAAGTGTAAAACCGCCCTGAATTCTTATCTATTTTTTAAACCTGTGTATACAAGAATATTTTCAACAGATTTTACTGATGTGCGCTTAGAAAACAGAACGGATAGTTTTACAATTAACGAGATAAACCAAAGGAAGCAGAGATTTCTATTGTGGACAAGTTCAGTGAGGAAAGCCTAATGATGCCACTCAGCTTATTCTAGTGTTCCGTGCATCAATTCTCATATTGGTTATCGAAATACTGTGAAATATCAGAGAAATATGATTTCACAGAAGGAAAATGTCGTGTCGGTAGTAAAATTTTTGTTACTGTGACAGGAGAAAACATTTTATTTGATTGTACTATAAGTGAAGTATTCTGAATTAAATTGTCTTGCTCACGACCACATTTCAAAGTTTAAATCAAGTCTGTGAGATCGATGAACAAACATTATCATGGCTGTGATTATCGTACTTCGGTTGTAGTAAGCATTTTATTGGTGCATTCGCATTATGCACACTTTATATTGTTACCACTAGAATCTAACCGCACACAGTTTTTTCTATCAGAAATGAATAAAAATAAGGAGATATGTTTGAAATAGTTTGGTACTCATTTTACGAACCTACTGAGTCCTACCACTGTACAGCTATACTGTGAGTTCATTACCAATATTTTTCATTAATTTAATGAGATATTCTATTTGAATATGTTGAAGAGACTGTTTGAGATAGTGTTGGATAGGCAGATTGATAATAATGGAATGTGTGATAACTGAAGATGAGATTGGAATAATACTGTCACAGTATTTCTACAGGTGATGTTGAAGTTAATATAGATAAATCCAGTCTTAGAATATGTGTGTAACTGACTTGAATGTCACCCAAAATATGCATTCAACTTATACATCAAGTTTTGTATAAAACTTTGTGATAAATAACACGTTATTTTCTTCTTTGAGTAAAACTCAAAATTTTCAACATCATATACTCTTTTCACTGATACACTATTTAGTGAATATGCAGTAATGCTGGAGAACACATTTTTAACCACAGCTGATTTTTCGAAACCAACTGCACTCCTTTCATTGAATGAGATATGAGATGCGCTTCTCATGTGACCATATGTTGCGTTGAATCACTCTGTATATGTGAATCTAATTTTCCTAGCTTACAGGTTTCAATGTGATGTACTTCTGAAAATAAGTATCTTTAATTTCCTGATGCATGTTTAAATAATACACGGAAACTCGTTGAACTGTTCAAGCGCTTAGTGAAATATTGCTATAGTATATATATTGCATTCTACGCTGTGATTCATTGAACGTCTTATTTTCTACCATGCTTTGAACTAAGAATCACTTTATGGGTTATCTCTTTTTGTGTCAAAGTTCACAAAAACAAATCCAATACAAAAGTGACAGGCTTCGTGATGAATGTCACAATGTTCATTGAGTGTGAGATTAACCCATCATCAATTATGGGGAAGTGGAGGACATTTTGTTTCTTATTCTTCATGGAATATTTAATGGAATATTGTTCTTATGCATTTAATGCCAACGCGGTCAATAACATTATAGTTAAGGCGTGTGAATTAGTCGACAGTAATTGAAGTTTATCATAAAGGTGATAAGCCAAGGATAAATTCACTCACGTGATTTTACAATCTAACTCTCTATTCATCAAGTGACAGTAGTTTATGATTCCATAAGTGGAAGTTGTTACGATATTAGTAGATTCATTTGTGAAATGATATTTTTAAAAGACAGCTGGATTCAAATTGTTATTTGACAAATAATTAAGAGAATATTCTTCACTATACCTCGATATAATAATAATATTAATAATAACAGTGAGTTTGTTCCATACAGTATTGTCGATTCAGTTTGGAAAATTTCGCATGTTGGAGACTATTGAATCTTATGTTCTGTTGATATAGTAGTATAGTGAGGTGAAATACAAAATTAACAGTTATCCCCACAGCTTAAATAATCTTCACACTTATGAATAAAAAAAATAAACAAAAGCAAGAAAATGAGAGGATAATAAATATAAGGTATACAGTAAAAATAAGGTTTAATGTTGTGAGGGTGGAGGAAATTGTTTATTTAGTAGTGTAAAGAAGGTTAGGCAGTTCATGCCTAACACATTATTTACTTGCCAAATAGAGTATAGTGGAATTTCTGTGCACTTAGTCTTACGTGCATAAAGTCTTCTGAAAAGACTTCTTGTTTTACCTGAGGAGACGCAAGGTTGAAGCTGCGCGTAGAGTGGGTGCTCATACTCTGACAAAATTCCTTTGGCGAATTTGTAGCATGAAATCAAGTGCCTATCAGTGACAATGTCAACGATATGGCCCAATGGGATACCACTCGTCCTACTGATAGTCTTCAGAGTTCTACGAAGTATGATATTGTCTTTTTTAAGCAATACAGGGAAGAATAAGATTGAACAGTAAAGAAGAATAGGTAAAATACACGAGCTGATAAACTGTAAGAGGAGTGGTTGGGTTATGTCTGAGTGTCTTAACTTCTTATTGTAAAAAGTAAGACGAAATATTCCTGGGAAGACCAAGATAGGTCAGAAGAAAGAATTACTCCAAGTTTCTTAACTTCAAACTTGGTTTCTATATCATTATCATCAATTTTTCAAGGGTCATGGGAACTAACAGCTTCATTTAGGTTTCGTTTACATCGGAAAATGAAGTTAACACTCTAACATTTGGAAGTATTTAGTTTGAGTCCACTATTTAAAGACCACTATTTGACAACCCAACAGTCAGTTTGAGTTTCAGCAAGCCTGTTTAACAAAATGTCCCCGGGTACTGATTCGAAAGCAGATGTGTAATCTAGGAAGAGGCAGCGAACAAGTTTAGCCCCCTTGTCTAAACTGGAGGCAATGTTATGATACAAGACTCCAACTGCATCTAAAGTACTTCTATTGTGTTTACAGGCGAGTTGTTCAGGATCGTTAAAGGCTTTCAGTGTAGGCTAAAGATCAATTAAGAGTAACTTTTCAGTAGTTTTTGGAAAAGGAGAGGTAATAGCAATAGGCCTAAATTTAAAACATGTTCCAGTGGACGAATTCGGTATAGATATGTAGGGGACTTATACTAGAGTTCACTAACATTATAAATATAAGAATAATAATCCAAGTCAACGGAGTGTTAAATAACAATATATTACCAGTGACGAGTTATATCAACATAAGGGATTACTTGGATATATAGTCTAAGTCCTCTGCTACAAATTATTCATATAATCCACGGGTACGTTAATTGTTTGGACTGCATCTGCTGTAGCTGCTGTGTTCCGGTTGTAGAAATGTCTTCGGTTGAGAGTAGTAGACTCCTACAATAAATCCGAAGTATACAACACGGTGTGAGTGAGCAAGTAAGCAGAAATGACCAGGGAGAAGACGAAGTCTCCAACAGCAGAGTGTATTTTTCAATTGTACACGGAAGTTATGTATATTTCAACAAGAAGCGTTTTAAACAAAAATTATGTACAATATCTCGAATTTATACAAGTAACCAAAAAGTGTACAATCACATTGTTACGTACTCCACACGGCTCCCCCCCTAGAGGTCCGGAGAGACAACCGGAAAATGATAAGTAAAACTGTGAAGTAAATAATAATAGTAATAATTTTTGGATAAAAATAGGGATATATTACAACATGCATAAACGCGAGAAGGTATGTGAATCATGTAAAGTCTGAAAGCATATACAATAGTTCAGCAATAAAAATTGAAATAGAAAGTCATGTCACTTAAATTTGCACTAACCATGAACATAGATTTTTAATGTATAAAGAAAAAATACACAGTAATTAAGGAGGGGAAAGAAACATTAAAAAAAATATGGATTAAAGATCAATAGTTTTTGAAAGGACAATACCTGTTTTTTAGGTGAGGTACATATAAATAAATAATAGTGATAGTAACATCAAAGTTTACGACGAAATACTAACGGTCATGATAATAATGTCTAAACGAAAAAGATAATAATAATTTTTAATTATTTTTTTTTATTAGTCCTCAAAATGAACGTAGCGAGCCGGTTTACTGATTTGCCGACCACTACGTGTTTGATATGGAGGGAGGATAAGACTTGGTGCCGGTGGAGTGGAATCGGATGTTTGATTATTTGATTGCGCAGTTGCCGATGTAGATTCGAAGTCGTTGTCGGTGTATGCGGGTTTGATTCGATCAATGGAAATAGTCTCTCGTTTTCCATTCTTGTTCACTGTAAAGTGTTTGTCTGAACGTTTAATAACTTGAAAGGGTCCTTCGTATGGAGGTTGCAATCCTTTTCTGATGGCGTCGACTCGAATGAAGACGAATTTGCAAGTTTGTAGATGTTTGTTGATCTGATCTCTTCGGGGAGATTGTCGAGGTGCTGTTGGTTGAAGTTGAAGCATTTGTCTAGTTAATCGGTTAGTGAAGTCGGCAATGTTCACGTCTGTGGAATCGGCTGAGGGGACTAGCTGTCCAGGCAAGGTTAGGTTGGTGCCATAGACAAGTTGAGCCGGTGTACATCCTAAATCTTCTTTGATAGTAGAACGGATACCAAGTAAAATCAAAGGTAAGTATTCACTCCACTTAGATGTATCATTCTGCGCCATCAGGGAGCTTTTCAGTTGTCTGTGGAATCTTTCCACTAGACCATTCGCTGCCGGATGATAGGCTGTTGTGGAGATATGTTTCACTCCCAGAAGTCTCGTCAGTTCGCGAAAGAGTGTCGATTGGAATTGAGGACCGCGGTCGGATGTAATAGTAGTTGGTACACCGTAGTTTGACACCCAACGGTCGAGAAAAACTAAAGCAACGTTTTCAGCAGATATGTCGTTTAAGGGGCATGCAATAGCCCAACGAGTAAATCTATCAATCGCTGTCAGGATATGTGTATATCCCTTGATGTTGGCAATGGTCCCACGATATCTATATGGATATGCTGAAATCTCCTTTCGGGTAATTCAAACGTCTTCGGGGTTGTAATAGTGTGGCGGTGTACTTTGGAGCATTGGCATTGGAGACATTCTCGTGCCCATCTCCGAATGTCAGAGTTCATTTTAGGCCACACGAAGCGTTCGCTGATCAGTCTGACCGTGGCGCGTACTCCAGGGTGAGAAAGCGAATGTAAATGTTCGAACAATGCTTTTCGGCAACTGAGAGGGACAAATGGACGATTAGTGCCGGTAGATACATCGCAGACTATGGTTGCATCTGATAAGGGGATAGGCACATCTTTGAGCTGTAAGGAAGAGTTTCTGCGGCAGGTTTGGAGTTCAACGTCATCTCTTTGTAATTGAGCCATACGATCAAGACTGATGTCTACCGACGTTTGAGCTGGTTAATGTCACTTCTTGAAAGAGAATCGGCTACCACGTTCGCATCCCCTTTGATGTACTGGATGTCGGTTGAAAATTGGGAGATATAATCCAACTGTCTGGCTTCTCTAGGGGAGTGTTTATCGAGTGAAGTAGTGAAAGCATGACACAGGGGCTTGTGGTCAGTAAAAATAGTGAAATGCCGGCCCTGTAGTAAGTAACTGAAATGCTTCACTGCAAGATATATGGCCAGCAATTCTCTCCCAAAAGTGCTGTATCGTGTCTGAGCCGGTTCCAACTTCTTAGAAAAGAATGCGAGTGGGGTGACTTCGCCCTTCATCTTTTGTTGTAATACTGCCCCTACAGCTACTTGGGAGGCATCTGTGCACAAAATAAGCGACGCTTCGGGGTTGATATGGGATAGCATAGTGACTTTGGATAAGGCATCTTTTGCGTTGCAAAAAGATTCGTGTGCTTCAGCTGACCACTGAAACTTTTTAGGATCATTTTTAAGGAGGTCGGTTAACGGCTGGACGATGGAGGCACACGAAGGAATGAAACGCCGATAGAAATTAAACATCCCCAAAAAACGTCTGACCTTCTTGAGTGAATCTGGTTCGGGGAAGTTTTTGATGGACTCTATCTTTTCCTCCGTAGGCGTAATACCATTCGCGGTTATGTGGTGTCCCAGAAACTGTATAGAGGAGACACCGAATATGCACTTTTTGGGGTTAATGACGACTCCATATTGCTCAAATCGTTGAAATAAGATGGTGAGGTGATCAGTATGTTCTTCGGGCGACGAGCTAGCAATTAAAACGTCATCGATATATACAAATACAAAGTCCAAACCTTGTGTGACCTGATCCATGAAACGTTGGAAGGATTGTGCTGCGTTCTTTAGGCCAAATGGCATGCGGAGAAATTCAAACAAACCGAAAGGTGTGATGATGGCCGTTTTTTCGATATCCTCTTGGGCAACTGGTATTTGGTGATAGGCCCTGACCAAGTCTACTTTAGAAAAAATGGTTTTTCCGTGTAATGTCAGGGAGAAATCATGAAGATGGGAATAGGATAACGGTCGGGAACTGTGGCATTGTTTAAATGTCGGTAATCCCCACATGGCCTCCAATCATGATCAGCTTTAGGCACCATGTGTAAGGGCGAAGACCAAGGACTATTGGAGGGTCTGATGATGCCGAGCTGCATCATGTGTTCAAATTCTGCCTTGGCTGCTGCAATTTGTCCGGGGGTAATCTACGAGGACGAGCACGAACTGGTTGACCCGTAGTAACTATCTTGTGAGTGACTGTGTGAGGGACGTCCTCGATGTTGTACGACGGCTTAAGAATTTTAGGGAAACGATGAAGTAGGGAGGAAAAAGGGCAATCTGCTGGTCTTTCAATACTGATATTATAGACAGAATAGTTGGAGATAATTCCATGGATCTTTAGATGGGTGTTGTTATCAATCAGTTTTTTATTGTTGACGTCAACTAACAGGTTGAAATTACTCAAGAAATCTGCTCCGAGGATGGCGTGACCGACGTCGGCTACTATGAAAATCCATGTGAAACGCCGACGTAAACCTAGATCCAGTATGAGGGATTGCTCTCCATACGTCTGTATGCTTGTGTGGTTAGCTGCCCGGAGAGACAGTTTTCCGGGTGTCCGTGTAGATCGCCTGGATAGTGAAGGAGGGATCACGCTAACTTCTGCTCCCGTGTCTACCAGGAATAAAGTGTCTGAAGTTTTGTCCTTCACATAGAAAAGGCGACTTGTTTGCTTGCCAGTAACAGCTGTCGCCATCACTGTCTGGCTGAGGCGTTTCCCTGAGCCTGGTTGGCTTCGCTAAAGCTGCACGGTTTTACACATTTCAGGGCATGACGTCCAAACTTCCAGTGATACCAGCATATATTACTATCCCGAGAAGACGTGTGAGAACGCTGTCGTGAGAAGGATCGTCGTCGTGATGGTGACCTTCTTTGTGAACTCCGCCTCCGGACTCGTCGATCAGACCTATTAGTTTCCAACTTGTCAATCCTTGCCGCTAAGTCTGCAATGGCGGCGAGTATCGGTGTGTCTGCCGTGGGTGTGGAATGACACGGTGTGGCACTATCAGATGATATGTGATTTATGGTGTTATCAGATAAATCAACCGTATTGAAGTAAACGGATATCAGTGATGGCATTTATTGTGGCATTTGTCTCGCTGTTAGCTGTCTGCACGTTTGATGTATTGGTGCAAAATAGGATGCAAATGTAAACCACACACAAAATCACAATGAATATGCAAAATAGCAAAAATAAAAATATGAATATGTCAAAATAATCAGTGTTCTTATCGGGCTCACCAATTAATTTTTAGGGGACTTATACTAGAGTTCACTAACATTATAAATATAAGAATAATAATCCAAGTCAACGGAGTGTTAAATAACAATATATTACCAGTGACGAGTTATATCAACATAAGGGATTACTTGGATATATAGTCTAAGTCCTCTGCTACAAATTATTCATATAATCCACGGGTACGTTAATTGTTTGGACTGCATCTGCTGTAGCTGCTGTGTTCCGGTTGTAGAAATGTCTTCGGTTGAGAGTAGCAGACTCCTACAATAAATCCGAAGTATACAACACGGTGTGAGTTGAGCAAGTAAGCAGAAATAACCAGGGAGAAGACGAAGTCTCCAACAGCAGAGTGTATTTTTCAATTGTACACGGAAGTTATGTATATTTCAACAAGAAGCGTTTTAAACAAAAATTATGTACAATATCTCGAATTTATACAAATAACCAAAAAGTGTACAATCACAATGTTACGTACTCCACAGCTACACTTTTAATGTCCTTCCAAACGGCTGGTACAACATTTCTGGAAAAAGATTCATTAAATATGTCCATGAGAGGATAACACAAGTGTCTGCACACTTTTTAAGAACAAAATTGAGCAAAACATCTGGACCTAGGCTACAAGAAGGGTTCAGAGGCTGGAGACATTTTAAACCAGGGAAGCAGGTTTCATTTACACTAGAAAGTTTTGCATTTGTGGGCGAATTCCTCTAGTTAATTTTGATTACATTTTTTAATTTATTTATATTTTAAGGTAGATCAGATACAATATTGTGACAAATGCCGAGAATCCCAATCTGTATTATAAGTACTGTTTTTGGAATAAGGTCGATTATTATTCTTATAAATAATATCTGTAAGTTCAGAATACTTTTTTATTCTGAACTTGCAGATATACGAAAATGACACTGAGCTTATATCGACGCAAGTTATGAATGAACAACAGTGTGTTCACTCCTTTGATCAGTTACGCAAATTATTCAGTTTAAGGCTTCCAAAAGTAGATATAAAAAATGTATATATAAAGATATATATGTATATAAATGTCTGTTTCATCAGATATCCGTTAAACGATTTTACCAGCAATTAAAATGTGCTTTCACCAACTATTATGTCCTGTAAGAAGCATAAGTCAAGCTTGATATAACCTGAATTTTGGTTCGAAAAGCAACGTGTACGATTTAATCACAATAAAGAAAATTTAATAGACGGAATTATTCACACGGACACCTTCGACTTCAATCTACTGATAACCGTTTTATCTACCCTCAGAAGTTTTAATTGTTAATTGTAAGACGAAGGTGATTCACGAATATTGTTGCTTGTTGTTTACAATTTGAAAACAGTAATACGGGCTTTGGCGATACTGACAGTCACCAACTATTTAACGAAGTCACATCCTTCCACATTCCTCCGTATATATAAGGTCGATAACTACCACAACCTTGAATTACAGAATCACAATGGATACACGGTACGTAAAACAAGTTTTATGTCCCATAATAACCTTCGTTTGTATTTCAGAGTCAGCATTGCCTTGTTAATTATTCTGTGAGTTTCTTTGTAAATACATTGGTGGATTTTACCAGTACAGTGTTAAATTCCTTCCTAATATGCTTCTGTTGATATTAATGTCACCAGCAGACAAATGTCTACTCACTTATACATGCATATTTATCATGAATATGTACATGACACTGACGGTGTGAGACATGCTGCTCATTCATTCAAATGATGACGATTATCAGTCAGTGATGAATTAAACATGCTCACTCCTCTCTATTCGTGAGGAGCTTAGAAATACGCCTCATACTGTCAATCGGAATAGAACTTCTAGGTTGCTAATGCATCCACTTCATTTTGTTTTAGGTTATGTGGAATCTGTTTATATAATGCTTTACTGATAGTTGAGAAGTTGAAGACCACGTTTCCAGTGAACTATATTATACTGGTATTGGTGGTAAGTCAAAATATGCGCAGACAATTTTGTGTGACTCGCATGTACAACCTCTGTAAGTAAAATGTTACCTAGAATTGATATTGTTATATATCTGAGTCGGTGTCCTTGAGGAAAGCTGACTACAAATGTTTTAGTTGCCACTGTTGAAATTCATGGTAAAACACTGTTCAGGTATCACATAAATCTATAGCGTTTTGCATTATCTCTTTTGTCATGAATGGTTTGATCATATAAAATGTCGTATAATATTGAAATTCACCTCACTACCACTATAATGCTCACAACATCAGGCGTCATTCAGAGTGGAGCGCCTCTCTCATCAAGAAATATACAACACACATTAGTCATATTCTCTATTTCTTTATTCATCGTCTGATGACTCCTTATTATTATTCAGAGAAGCGGTTTATATCTGACTTGAATTATTTCACATGAATGCAATATGCTGCGTCGCAAATAAGGTAAACTCGACCATTCAAACAGAATTGCTGTTATCGCCTTTCAAATTTGTAGATAGTTTTATTGTTTCGATTTGGCCTCCGTCACAACTAGATCCCAGTCACAGAATCACTGAATAGTACAGAGAAGTGGACTGCGATTCCTTCATAGTTTGTTATTCTGATTATCTGTCCGATATAATTTCGTGAAGGAATGAACACAAAAAATAGTCAGAAGTCCACAATTATTTCACTTGAGTAAATAACAAACCGAAATCGAACTTGTCACTTGATAAGAAGACACGTTGGTTATCCTTTGTTTTGTAAAATGAGAATAATATTTGTATTAATATTTCAGTTTTCAATCACTTACCCATTCAGGTTGTTTTACTGTTCGTCGGTGTGGGATATCTGTATAATGGTCCAGTACCTTTTGTTATCTCAATTGCTGTAGCCCTTGCGATCTCAGCGATAATAATATTTGCTTCCTGGAATTTGAATAATCTGACAATGAAAGGATTCAATGTTTTCGCCTCAGTAGCAGCTGCATTTGCCTTCGTGGGATTTGTTCTCCTAATCTTCAAGAGAACATCGGAAAGGGTAATTATTTATAAGTAGTCTTGTTGTTCATTCACTTTCACGTCAGAGATGTCGTTTTTAGTTTTTAGATAGGTGATAATATGCATCTTCATTTAAAAATGAATAACTTGTATGACAAACACAAAAGGGAGACTGTCTGTTGAAGAGAGTTGTCTGTTTTAAATGATCTTTAAATATGTTTGCCCAGCTGCACGTGTGCTTATAGACTTGTTAATTGAATATTTCCTTGTGTTTGGCTGACAGTAAGCAGTGAACTCAAGTGGTCCAAATGACAAATTATGATCAATTCTCCTGAAAACGATATCGCAGTTAACTTTGATAAAAAGAAGCCATCAGTGTGTATCAAGTGAAACATTATCATTCGAACAATACTAGAATTATTATTTTTTGCAATATAATTAACGCCCAGCATTGACTTCGTGAACTGTTAACAGCTTCAAATACGTAATGCATAGAAATAGTCAAACTCAGCATATGGTTTTACTCCATATATTGTTCTATCAGCTAACTTTTCAATGTGGTCACCAATCTAGAATGCTTGCAAACACGGCGACCTTCCTACTGATGTTAGGTGACTGAAATCAATCGGTAGGAATTCCGGAATTCACGCATAACACAAGAATTCATCCTGTCCAACGTCTCACAACAAAACGAATTCGAAGTGATCTAATTTTATGCTCCTGGTTTTCGGAAAGGAAGGGAACACGGTCTTCTCCCCTCTCATATTCAGAATGAATGTGCGTCGGTGGCATGGTGGTTAGGATTCTCGCCAATCATGCACATGGTCCGACGCACACCTGATACCTATGGTCGGCCTGCAAAATTTGCGCTTCCGATATCAAATGCTGAAAATTCCATACCTGTACCAAAAAATACGGTGTAAAATCAAGCTGAAATCAAAAAAAAAAAAATAAATCAGAATCATTCACTTATCGTCAAAATTTCATGTATTCACCTTTGTGCAATTATTTCGGAGTACTAGTCAACTATTTTGTCTCAGTAGTTCCTTTCTTATAAACGTGTAATCTTCAAAATTGTGACTCATTTATGCGAAATAGAATGCGTAAATTGTAAAAGATAACCCTGTGACATTAGTTAAAGGACATAGTTGTCTTTCCTGAACAACTGATTACGTGGAATATATTACCGAGAATCAGAGATAAAATCGATGCATTCCTATTCTCATGTAATTTCGCCAAACAAAATTAACCTGTCATTTCACTCACCAGAGATTCTTCAATAGTACCAGTCACTCATCCAACATGGTAATTTTTCTTTTCATTCTAGCCAATATTAGGGATTATCGGGGGTGTATTCCTGTGTTGTGCAGCAAGTCTTGTAAGTCTACAACCATTTATTCAGTCAAAGATAATTTGCATTTAGTGTAATACTGATATTGTTATTGATTGTATTTGTCTTCTCCACTTCACACCAAAATCAGTCTTCCCTACGAGTAGTTCACTTCTCCACTAATGGATCAAATTAATGCATTCACACATTGTCTGATGAGATACTTCCTAAATTCGCTAAGCTACAGTTCTGAGCTTTATTCAAATTCATGAAAAGCCGCAACAACAAGTGTGTTATTATATTCAAAGGATCTTGGTCAACCCCTTTTTATCTCTCTTTGTTCACCTGAATTCCTAATTTGCCTATTTATTACCTGCATTCCTTAGTTTTAATTTGTATAATCTGGTGTTTCTACGACAAAAGTATCAAGCGAAATTCAGATATTTTAGGATATTTTTTTCATTTCTACAAATGCTTGTTACAGTTCGCCTCTGAATCCCATGAACTACAGTCATGGCTGTACTTTGTACCCCTGTCAAGACCGAACGCTCTCTGTTTTGAATAATTTTAATCGCTGTTTTGAATATTTTCAGAGCCGCACTTCACAGTACCAAGGAATTCTATTCATTCCGTCAGACTCATCTTCAAAGTCACCTAAGGAGAGGTTCATAGGTGGCTACAATTGAAAGATCTTTGTGTTGATAATGCAATATGTTGCAATCGGATCCACAGATCGACTGATTTTCTGAATCCAGGATGTTCCACTGAAAATGTTTTACGCAGAATAATGCAGCTTAATATAGTAGTTAATATGAGCATGCTTCCACGCCAGATATGTTTTGGCTTTAAATCACCCCTGTTTAAACCTCGCCTAGACCACTATCTTGCTAGTTTTCTAGCCGATCCCAAGCCCGGATAAAGAGGGAGGGTTGGGGCGTGGTGCTAGCAACTCCAACTCCAAAACTTAACCAAACCGCTACAGAAACTTCAATGCACAGATATATTAAAAATTCTAAAATTTTAAACAGTAACCTTATTTTTTCGCTGGAATCAAGGAAGTGAAATGACACAGGCTGGTGAAAGCCTTCGAGAAGCCAGTAGTCGATGTGCCTCCTTTCGATAAAAGAAAAATAAGGATGGGGACCTGGAATGTTCGTAAAGTGTACGAAACTGAAAAGGCTGCCCAGATAGCCGCTGAAATGAGGAGGTATAGAATAGAACTGTTGGGAATCTGCAAGATGAGGTGGAACGGAAATGGAAGGTGTCAACTACCAACTGGAGAGACAATAATCTATTCCGGCCACCCAGAGGACAACCACGAGCACACCGAGGGAGTGGCCATCATGATGTCACCAACAGCAGCCAAAGCTCACCTGCAGTGGGAACCAATCTCCTCCAGGATAACGACAGCCAGGTTCAACTCAAAAGGAAGGAGGGTTACAGTCATTCAATGCTATGCTCCTACAAACGTCTCAGAACAAGAGACGAAGGAGGATTTCTACAGACAACTACAAGCAATAATGGACAACGTCCCAAATGGCGACATCAAAATCCTGATGGGCGACATGAATGCGAAGCTGGGACGAGACAACACAGGAAGAGAACTCACCATGGGTCGAGAGGCCGTCAGTGAAATGAACGACACTGGTGAACTCTTCTCAGACTTCTGCGCCTTCAATGATTTGGTGATTGGTGGCAGCGTTTTCAAACACAAGTAAATACACAAGACGACATGGATTTCACCAGATGGAAACACCAAGAACCAAATAGACTTCATCTCAATTTCAAGAAAGTGGAGACGGAGCCTACTGGACACAAGCTCGAGGAGAGGAGCAAATGTGAGTTCAGACCACTATCTAGTACAAGGGACTTTCAAGGTGAAACTAAAAGCCTCGAGGATAGCTGCGGATAGGCCACAATGCAAGTTCAACACTCAATTACTGAAGGATACAACCACAAAAGACACCTTCACTGCAACTGTCAGAGCAAAGCAGGAAACACTACGCGATATCACGAGAGAATAATGCGTGGAAGACCATTGGAACTCTCTGAAGGTGATTTTCAACTAAACGTGTTCAGCGGTTCTAGGAAGAAAGAAGAGACAAGACAAGGAATGGCTCTCAATGGACACTTGGAAGCTAGTAGAGGAGAGGAGAATGGTGAAAAGAAAATGATTCAATGAAAAGACGGACAAGAGAAAGGGATGCTTAGCTCAACGTACACAGCACTGGACAAACAAGTGAAGAAGTGTGCTAGGTAGGACAAAAGACGATTCTACGACAACCTCGCCACTGAAGCTGAGAAAGCAGCAGGCAAAAGGGACCTGAGGACATTATATCAGATAACCAAATCTCCATCCGAGAAGAGATCAACACAAGCGACACCTTTAAAAGGCAGCCGAGGGAAAACAAGTACCAAGACAAATTAAACAATGGGCGGATCACTTCGAAGGACTCTTGAACCGACCAAACCTGTGACACGTCCAAAATACCAACAACAGCACGTGCACAACTACAAGTCGACACCAATCCTCCAACGAGAGCTGAAGTCTTGAATGCAATCAAGCTTCTGAAAGCTGGAAAAGCAGCTGGACCAGATGTAATACCCCCGAAGCACTAAAAGTGAACCCAGAGACGACAGCAGATATGCTGATTCCGTTATTGCAAAAGGTCTGGAAGGAGGAGAGGTGCCTACTGACTGGAGGAAAAGTTACCTCGCGAAACTACCAAAGAAGCGCAACTCAGGACTCCGGAAGAACTGGCGAGGAATCATACTGCTGTTGACGTTAAGTAAAATCCTGAGTCGCATCATCCTGGAGAGAATAAAGGACAAACTGGATGCAGAACTCCGAGCAGAACATGCTGGATTCAGGAAAGGCGAATCATGTACTGATCAAATTGCAACTCTACGCATCCTCATCACAGAACAAAGCATGGAATGGCAATCAAACCTCCACCTCAACTTTATAGACTTTGAGAAGGCCTTCAACAGACAGCGTTGACTGCGAAGTAATTTGAAAATTACTCGAGTACTACGGCGTACTCCAAATATTCAACAACCTTATTCAACAGCTGTACGACAACGGTGGCACATTTAAGTGACCCACAACTGAAAACTCAGTGAGGCGTTTGGAGTAAACACAGGAGTCAGACAAGGGTGCTGGTTTATTATCATCAATGATATTCCTAATGGTGGTGGACTGGATTATGCGTCAGACAGTGGGAAACGAGCAGACAGGGATATCCTGGACTGACGTAAAGAACCTAGAAGACCTGCATTTCGCGCGTGGATGATTTATGTTTGATGTCACACAAAATCGAAGACTTACAAGCGAAAACCGAAAAACTGGTCGAAGAAGCAGCCAGAGAGATAGGACTCCATGTGAACATAGACAAGATGGAGGTTATGAAATTAACCAACCAACAACAGCAACATCCAACGTCAATCCTCATCAACGGGAGGGATTCGAGAGAGGTCACTTCATTCACTTATCTAGAGAGCATTGTCTCAACTACAGGCATTTGGAACCGACTAGGATGTCAAATGGAGAATCCGGAAGGCGAGAAACACATTCATCAACCTAAAACCAATCTGGAAATCTTCGTCACTCAGCCAGCATCAACAACAAAATTCGGTCGGATTTTCAATACAAACGTCAAGTCAGTCAGTTCTTCTATACGGATCAGAAACTTGGCGGGCGGGTCACAAAGATTTCCAACAGCCTGTTGGAGACATTTATCAACCAACAACTGTCTTCGGTCTATAATGAAGATCAGATGGCCGGCCGGGCCGGAAAGAATCACCAACAAGAAACTATGGGAAGGAACAAACAAAACAAGAACCAATCGCCGCCCAAAAATATGCAGGAGAAAGTGGAGATGGATTGGATACTCGCTGGAGAGGCTGCTGGGTGACATCGCGTGCGTGTCAGGCCATTTCTCATGTGGAACCTAAAATGGAAGCGGCGAGTGGGACGTCGAATGGTGACATGGAGGAGATCGTGTGAAGAGGTGTTGAAACAGTATATACTAGCATGCACTCAGGTGAAGAGTACAGCAGAAGACAGAAGTGGCAAGTGGAGACGTGCAGTTGAAGCCTATATTCCACTAAGAAACCCAAGAGAACAATAAAAATAATATAACACCTTGTTTGCTGCTTTGACAAAGAACATTCTATTTACCTAACATTTCCTCACTCAGTGACGTGATCATGTCTATTTGAGATCTGCAGCTTCGTTCACAGTGCCAACAGGGATATTTATCCAGCCATGTTATTTTACTGGCCTTTAGTGACATTACTATCTCCAAGACTCCTGTTTTCATCGATGGGTTGGCATTCACTAACAGTTTCGTTTCTTCGCAAGTTGTAGGTGGTAGTAAATGCAACAGTTCTTTCAACTGATCTAGCCAACATCTCCTCTATTCCATGTATTTGAGAATGTCCTTTCACCCAATACCTCCCACTGGTTGCATCTCCATCAATCTCTCCCAATGATGCAGATCTGATTATCTCAGATTTGCAGTTTGTTCTGCTACATCCGACAGTGTGCTGTGAAAGGCCGTTTCGCCTTTTGTAGAACACTTCTTTACCATCAGTGTTCAGTGTCTTTTGCGTGGTACTCAGCTTTACCTTAAATATTCTTCCATTGGGGTTTCGTAGATCATGTTGCGTACTACGCCTGATATGCTCATCTTACCATAAGATAGTGACGCTAAACAATATCTCTGATTTTCTACTGAATTTAAACATAACAAATTCAATTCTAATTGATATATCTTGCTTATTTTTAGATTTTGTTTGCGTGGTTTGTGGACTCAGAAAACGTTTTCGGAAAACAACATCCATGTTCCAGAAGATGTTGGACCTTTTAGATATATACGTAGCGGTTATTTCAATATTCGCAGCAATATCAATTTGCTTCGCTTGAGAAGGAAAGGAAGTCTTTATGCAGAGTGTATACTTTGTATTCATCTTGTGAATTCCTTAAACATGTGATATAAATCTACATTTTCTCTAATACATCATTTATTCCTGTGCATGTTAACATATTATTCTTATGTTGATAAAGCATTAATGGAATACGTTCACACCTTTTCTACTCTAATCAGCAGAAGCTCAGCATGAAGATAGTAGTTTAACGAAAAAGCGACGACTGAAATATGATGGTATAAATGTAACAGCTAATACCGTAACACCCTGACCACTTGTAATGTTTGGATGAAGAATGGAGAAGTTTGTCTTAATGCCTTCGCACTAATCTACAGCAACGTACTGGCAGAAAAATAAATTCGTAATATGCATGCAATAGTTTAGATGTGGTTTAAAGTTTCTTAAGAGCGTTAGATGAATATCGCTTATTATTAGTATGTTTAAGCAAAACGTAGACGTGATCAGTCGAAGCTAGTGGAATTTGTGCCATCTGTCATTACGTCCGTGTCGAACTACAACACACTTGAATATTGTGCGACGTGTCGATTAGTCAAACATTTCTGACAAATAGTTATCAACTCATCCACCCACCGTTTCATTTCACAGTTTCAACAATCACACGGAGTGGTTTCGTTATGATTACCAATTCTATCAATAAAACACACTGCTAATCAGAATATTAGTTCTTGTAGATTGAATTTCACCCGTGTTCTCTCAATGTTTTCTGTGTTTTTCTGTAAAGTATTGAGTAAACCGGTTGTTTCGGTTTGAGATCTGTATATATTCCGATTGGTTTCAATATTCTGGTCACTATTCTTCACTTCCGACAGAATGGATTTCCTTTTGGCCTTTGAGATATGTCCGGTTGATTCGGGTGTAGGCATGTTTTGATGAGGTAACGGAGGTATCGACTTTTGTGGTTAATCGATATTCATCTCTTTACTTTATACCTGTATTTCAAGATTTTCCATGCTGTCTCACTAACTCTTTCTTCCATTTAAAAGTTTATAAAACTCCATACACAGAATGATTATTTCGACAGTTAGTGTCACAAATGTCAACATCCGTTTGAATAAATGATTAAATAAATAGACTACAGATCCATCCATTATCATAGTGACTGACAACGAAATCCTTTTGAACCAAAAAGTTCACATTCCCTGAAAACACAAGCTCATGTTGAAGCTGATGAAATTTCTGTTAAGCGTGTTCTCAACCAGAGACTGACAAATTGATTTATTACCACTGTGCAGGATGATTGATTCAATTTCGTTGTTTATCGTCTTCAAGTATGTGCAAGTAGGGAGTTAATAGTCACACTATCAGTAAAAGCTATAAGTTCAGTTATGTGTTAGCGATACTCACCAGTCGGAATCAAGAGACAGGATTCACTTCTGCAGTTTAATACTGATACTGCATCACTGTTGTTGATAAGAAACCAGAAGAGGTCGTTGAAATAAGTAAGTGAATTTACACAAGTGGAATGGTGGATTGAAATATTGAATCCCTTGAGACGATATTTCTTAACAAGCAAATTGATATTGGTAGATTTAAAGCAGCTGTCCAGTACTCCCAGGCTTTATCATGTCGAAGTGAAGCCTTTAAAAGGGGTATTCTACTGGAAACAAAAAGAAATAATCATCTAATTTGTGATCAGCTCCTAAAAACAAAACTAACCCTTACTGTGAAAACAAAAAGTCGCTTTGATAAATTTGAATAAGGCGTTTAGAAGACCAATTTCGCGAGGTGATATCATTTCGAAGATTCTCTTTACAACCGCTTTACTACTAACATTGTTAACAATAATAAAATAAAAATTCATGACAATTACTCAGTTAAATAAAAACAAAAGTACATACTAATGACCAATCATATTTAGATAGGTCATGTTGTCCATGGTAGGCTAAGATTGAAGTCTATCGATTTTTGTACACACGGTTTAGGCTGTATGTGAATAATCCAGAGGGCTTCAATAACATTGAAATACTTGTGAAACAGTCATTAATACTGATTTTGTGACTTGACATTAATAAGTGTTTTGCAATGGATGATGCTAGATTTCTATTCAGATTAACCGCATTTGGATTTTCAATATGATTTACTGGCCATTTTGGAACATGTTCTCTTCGAAGACATTGGAACATTCTGTTGATTCTACCTATATAGGTGTCACCGCAGCTGCAGGTGAACTTGTAGATAATTTTCCGGTAGAGTCCAGAGAACTTCATCTTTTATTCGTAGGTACAGCGATCGAAAATGTTCAGCAAGTGAGAAAAAGAGATTCGGCGTAGAATGTGCGTTTGATGACTGACCACAGTCTTTGAGCTAGCTGTCAACTGCATAATCTGGTCGCCCTTGAATGGTAGGTTAATAACGATAGCTTTGTTTGGTACAGAAGCTGTCTTTCCGAGATGTGGTCTTTCTTTACTGTGACAAGTGATAAAACTTTTCGGATAACCATTAGCTAATAAAACTGAATGTATATGTCGTAACCCATCCATCAATGTGTCACTCGTACATATTTTTCGGGCCCTTGAGAACAAACATTTCACTAGGGAACGTTTTTACTGGATAAGCGCAAAACTGGTAAAATGAAGATATTGTCCAGTCCATGTCTGTTTAAGAAAAATAGATTGCTGAATTGTTCCATCATCTCTCCTTGTCATAGTAATATCCAGGAAACCGAGTTTGTTATTGGATTCTAGTTCGGAAGTCACTCGAATATTTGGATGAATATGATTAAATAGAGTAATAAAGTTTTCAATAGATTTACCATTATTACCAATAATAAGAGTGTCATCTACATAACGTTTATACAGCATAAATTCTCCAAGCATACCTTGCATTTGTTTCTCTAATTTCGACATGAATATATATCTGCTAACAGGGGTCCCAGAGGGCTCTCCATCGCAACACCATCGATTTGTTTGTGTGCTTTTTCTTGAAAGGCGAGTCTTATTTTTTTCGAACACATTAAAATTAACAGTTTCATGAAGGGGAACATTGGCGAATGAAGATTCCATGTCAATTGAACACATAACCTATTTCTTATTGTTCAAGGTGTCTAGCATTTCTGTAAGATCAAATGAACGTTTTACAGAATGATTTGAAAATGAGTCTCTTACAGGCGTAAAGACCTTTGTAATCCATTCGCGATTTTATGGTAAGGAGAATTTGACATGTCTAAGAAGGGTCTCAGTGGGTTCCCAGTTTTGTGGATATTCGGAAGGCCATAAAGCTGAGGAGTATGTGACCCAATTGCTTTAAGTTGTTTATAAAGTTTTTCATTTATAAAACCATGCATCAGTAAAATCTGAAGCTGACGATTGACCGCTTTTCCACAAGCAGCACATTATCAGTAGTCCTGTCCACCAGAAATTTGAACTGATCTTTGAGGATATCATTCATTTTATTTTGATAATCCGATTTGTTCATAATGACAACGTCTTCTCCCTTATCAGGTTTAAGGATAACAAGATGATCTTTTTCGATTAATTCCTTAAGTTCGACGTGGTATTCTTTTGATAAACCAATTTTCTAGTGTATTCTAGCGTGTAGAAATTGATGAGAAATATCCACCAGTTTGACTTTAAACCAGTCCAGATTATCTTTACTAGAAGGAGTTAAATCAAAGATTTGCTCATAGAGGTTTTCATACTGTGACTGGACTGCCATTTTGTTTATTTCCATGGGAATAGTCTTGTACTTCAATCCATAAGATAATGCTTCCAACTGTAGTTGGGATAGAGTGCAGGTAGATGAATTAATTATATGCTTGTAGATATCCTAAGGAAACTCTAAAATATGATTCATGTCCTTAAAGGTTTTGTTAATTTTTGCTCAGTGGAAATTATGGTCTTTTTCACCATATCATTGCAAAATACAGTGAATTTAATTCGACATAATACAGATAAATTACCCATTACGCGAATTAGTCTTTGGTGTGTTTCAATAAATTTCGAAAGTTTGTCAGTAATTTCATCAATTTCTAATTCAGCTAGATGCTGAAGGTTAGAGAGTGAAGATTTTGACTTATTTCGACGTAATGATTTGTGAAATGATATAGGATAACGTTTATTTTCTATGCAGTTGCGATAAGACCTTAATCGTTCACGCTGGTATCATCTCGCGAAATTTGTCTTCTTAATGCCTTATTCAAATATATCAAAGGAACTAGTCTATTTAATGATATTGTTATGCTTTACTACTATTGAACATACCTACCAACAGAATCGCCAACCTTGAACCTACGTTAACCGACGTGCCCTATCAGTATTTACAACTAGTGACACCCAGTAATCTTATTTTAAAATCGTATATCATAGTAGATATCTTTATGGAAAGCTGGGAACATATGGCTATTAATATACTTAATCCTACTCCAAAAATATGGTGGAGATGTGTGGATGACACTTTCCAGGTGTTAAAAACAGAACATACCTCTAGTTTCTTCACATAGATAAATTCACTAGGCGAGGGAATAAAATTCACATTTGAATCGGAAAATGAACAAGAAGGATAAGCTATGTTAGATTGTAAAATAAAGCGAATAGAAGTAGGTAAACTGCAAACTAGAGATTACAAAAAGCCAACGCATTCAAATAGATATTTAGACTTTGATTCATCTCATCCGTTGTCAGTAAAGCTGTCTGTGAAGCTTAGTAAAGTGTATCAAAATAAGTAGCACAACAAAACACTTCTATGATGGAATGAAACAGAAACAGGAAATGTTAGTGGGAAATAAAAAACTATTTTATAATATTCATAAGGAAGATAAGAAAATGCCATAATAAAAATAAAAATTCATACAGGTGGTTCCCTTGATAAATTTCGATAAAGAAAGGAAGACGAAATTTGCAGTATAAAATGATATCATTCTATTTCACAGGTTCTCATCAGCTGCAGACTACCTGAAATTACAATGGTTATATAGATGATAATAACATACTTTAATGTTTGAGTGGTCGTAGAGAAGAGATACTATAAATCTGACGCATCCAAAATGAATGCAGTAAAATGTTCAGTGTAAGTTTTCATCACCAATTTATACGCTTTTAAAGTTGAACGAAAGTTGCAGAGGTAAGACAGAAAACAGAAAAATTAATTAACATAGCAGTGTTAGTTTGCAGGTTCACATAGCAACTCAAGAAACAAAAGCGGTCACAGTTTATGAGATTAAGATTTGTTCAGTGAGTTGAGATCACTGAATAACATGACCAATGAATATCGCCTTAATGAGATACATCAAAATATCAAATTCACCATGGAATATGAACATAATAATGATTTCAATTTCCTGGATCTAAATGTAGAATGAACACGCGAAGGCATGATCGAAAAGTCCATCTATAGAAAAGAAACCTGGACTGGACAATATCTTCACTATAACAACTTTTGTCCGATAAGCTATTAAGGTGGATTTGTGAGGACTTTGTATGACAGAGCCAGGAAGCTATGTTCACCAAACAGGGTAGAAGAAGAATTCGTTTTCGTCGAGAAATGCCTAAGGGAAAATGGATAACCTAACGGATTTATATAAAAGTACAGCAGAGAAGAAGATATGAAAAAAAACACCCAACTGTAGAAAAGAAAAAAGCACTTGTTTCTCTCCCATTCATAAAAGACGCATTGTCACAAACGATTGACAAAAATTGAAAGGTGCAATAAATAGAAGCATCCCGGCAGCAAAACTCATAACAGTATACAGCACCACCCTTTCTGTAAACCACTCAAAATTGGATAAATACCCTGCTGATGTCACCTCCAACTGCGTTTATGAATTCACGTGCACTTGCGGGAGCAAGTACATTGGAAGGACAGAAAGAAGGGCTTCTATCCGGTTTTCTGAACATATTCCCAAAAGCCTGTGCCTGAAAGGAAGCAAATAGTCTCAGAGTGCAAATACCAGACATTCTGTTGATACCGAATATCTCGTAGAGATTTCTAAGTCCTTCAAAATATTAAATAGACAAAGGACAGCGAACTTACTACAATTTGCCGAAGCAATCGCAATCAAACGACTTAAACCAGACTTATGCATACAGAAAGAGTGTGTGACTTACCTCACCTTCCCTTGATAACAGAATTTTGATTTCGATTAGTCATCTAATTCAGTGATCTCAACTCACTGAACAAATCTTAATCTCATAAACTGTGACCGCTTTTGTTTTTTGAGTTGCTATGTGAACCTGACCTACAAGCTAACACTCTTCTGTTGATTATTTTTCTGTTTTCTGTCTTACTTTTTCGCACTCTTTTGTGTTAATAATCATAAGATAAAGAATATAAGGAATCTGCCGAAATTTCACCATAATAGTTTCGTCATCTGAGGCCCTACCTACGTAGGATTCTGAATAAAGCAGCAATGGGTGTGGCATTCAAACCTACGAACTCACGCATTGATAAGCTGTATAGACTTAATGACCCGATAGACCCATTTAAACATAATAATATTATTATTTTTTCATGTTTCGCCTTTCCTTCCTACTATTTTCAACTTCAGAAACGTAATAATTGATGATGAAAACTTAAACTAAGTATTGTAATGCTTTCATTTTGGATGAGTCAATTTATAGTATCTCTTCTCTACTACCATTCAAACGTTAAAGTTTCCTATTATCATCTATACAACCAATGTAATTTCAGGTAGTCCGCAGCTGATGAAGCACTGTGAAATGGAATGATATCATTTCATTCTTCAAATTTCGTCTTCCTTTCTTTATCGAAATTTATCAAGGTAACCAATTGTACGAAATAAAGATACTGGCGAGACTAATAATGATAACATAATTTATATAAGACATCTGCAGCACTTCTACTGTATAAGGATGCGACGTCTGAGACTCTTTTTGCACGTTGAATTCTAAATTAACAGGCATTAGGTTGGCATTCAAATCTACGGTATCTACAAAATAACTTTCAATGACTGTGGGTTAAGTTAGCTACATAGGTCAAACTAGAAGTTCGTGAGTAGTGAGATTGTCAGAACATAAGAATTTAGTGGCTAACGTCAGAATGATTGATACAGCGAAGGTAATTAATTTTGAAAAGAACTCAGAAATCGCACTGCAAGCATTAACACACAACCGTACAATAGGGTGGGATAGAATTAAAATTCTAAGAAGTAATATAGGTAGATGGAGAAATAGACCGATTACTGAAACCTGGTTCATCGAGTTTGCACCCAACACATGGAATACAATTAACTTAACGCGAATAGCAGAGATATGGAAGACATTATTAGTATAAGTATAAGACTTGAGCACTGTCATAGGCTAAAACTCCATTATAGATCACATTTTATTTTGATGTTTAATGTTACTGTATAACACTGTGTGATTTATAAAAATAAAATATTATCTATAATGAAGAAATTATTTCGATAGGGAAAGAAAGAAGAGATTTGCAGTATAAATTCATCTCATTCTATTTCACAGGTTCTCATCAGCTGCAAACTACCTGAAAGTAGAAGAAGATATTCTTACCGGTCATATCAGAGGAAGATAATTAATAATCTTAAAATTCTATTTCAATTCACGTACCTTATAATATTCTAACAAGCTATTGATTTTTACTATAAACACATCTTATTTCCCATCTGATTGTATTTGATTGATAAGACTAATATTATTTCTGAGTGAACATTATCTTGATTTTTATCCAAATGTCTAATCAACTTTACTCATGTATATAGATGAAGCTGTGCGAGTGACGATATGATAATGAGCAATAATTTGCACTCGAAACATCATCAGTCAATATATCACTGTATAACACTGTGTGATTAATCAAAATAAAATATTATCTATAATGAAGATATTATTTCAAAGACATACTTGATTTGGTTATTATTGTACTTTGGACATGATAATAATTTTAATGACACATTTTTATCATGCTATTGTTTAGTTTTTATAGTCAAGACTTTGCATTGGTTTATATGAGCAGATGTAATATAAATATTCTTGTAATCACCCTTTGAAATTATTCGTAGAAAAGTTTTAACTCCAGTCATTAAGTAAGAAATGAAGGTAACCAACAAATAAATATTTAACGCCTGGGGTTCGTCGTTTGCAGTTTTCAATTCTCAAATAACAACAACATTTCCTATCACTTCATACTGTTCCTGCACGCTACTCGGTCTTCACAAAGTCCATAATATTGTTGTTCTCATATTTAAAAAAACCATGTTTAGTACATGGTGGGTAATACACACAACGTGTTTCGTAATAACTTTTGTTTATTATCTAGGTACAACATTTATGCCTGTATTGCTCTGTAAGTTTCATTTTTAAGCCCACAGAATCATGTGCCAATACTGCAATATACCTCCACGATTTCTAACATGCCTCAATTACTGATGTCGCATTCCATAAATTTCACTATGATTGAGCACTCTGTTTACTGGAAATTATAACTGTTTACCATCGATATGATCCTGGTGGTATTAAACACGTTTCTGTACCATTCACACACATCGTGTATATCTAATGAACAGGCCACTTCTGATGTGCCTCTTTTTTGCTCTTGTTTCAGAATATTTGGTATCATCATATATGGTGCTTTACTGCTATGTGAGAAGCTGAGAACCATTTATCCACTAAACTATATTTTATTGTCAGTATCGGTAAGTTGAATTGTGAGTGGAAATAGACGAACAAGATGATGTACGCTGTGTGTTAAATGTTGAATGGACTGGATATTGTTATATTTCTGATTCATCAGGCTTATGAAAAACTGACTACAAATATTTCAATTATATTTGACATGATTTATGCTACGATATTTTACATCAATAATCTACGTCAAGAACTTCCTGCAATATCTATTTCCGTAAGAATTATCCGTTCATTTTCAATTCGAGTAGTGAATTGATTCTTCGCATGTCAAGTACACCAAAAATGTGACACACATCTGGGATGTTCACTTTTGCAATGGAGCAAATTTTCTAATGAGGAGAAGAACTCACACCTATCTTCCTAGAGTCGTGTTCACCTGAACGGAGCTGAACTCACTATTTTACAGTATATGACAGTGTAATGTTACACTTCCACACTTCACTAGTATAATCTATGCGGATTCCGTTTATCAAGAAAATGTTCTCAGGTTCTGTGGGTCTGACACTGAGTAGAACTCCTCTCTCACTAGGAAGTATACAAAGCAAATTGATCAGGCTCTTGATTACTTGATTATTACCTAATCATAGTGAAAGAAGAAGGCTCCGGCACACATGAAATATTTCAAAGAAATTCAACATATTCGTTTGGGACCGGGATATACTGAATTACTGAAACAGTGTCGTTCTTATCATGTCCCGAATTTTGTAAGGATTTTTTCCTGTTTATCGGTAGCTAACCGTTATCAGTGACAGAATTATTGAAAATCAAACTGACTGCCGTTTGAGACTGTTCACCAGTGAGTCGTGGTTAACATTAATTCTCTTTAAGGCATCAGATCGCGAAGTAATCCACATCACTACTTGTTACATCTAGTGTTTTAGTAAATTGTGAAGTCAAACAGGAATCCTCTTCTTCCTTGATTTTCTAATCTTCTTCCTTTGTAAAATGAGAATGATAAAATTATATTTTTTCAATTTCACTTTTTTCACTACCCAGTTCATTTCATTGTGTGCTGGTGTTCGATTATTGTACAATGACTTATATCATTCGTGATAACAGCAGTGATCTCAGGAATCGTAATTGATCTCTGTTGGAAGTTGAGTAATTTGACAGCAAAGGGATTATTCATATTCTCGACGATAGCATCTGTACTCACCTTTTCGGGATTCATTCTGCTTTACTTTCGAGATAGAGTGAGTAGTAATTGATACATTCTCTAGAATATAAATACCATTATTCCCTTATTTCAGTTAGGGCACCACTGGAAAACCTGAGAGTACCGGACAGGTTTTTCATCCTTACAAAACTAATACCTGAAAATGTAAAATTTTTGTGTGAATGAACAGGCAATTAGATAATCAGGAGTATCCATATTGAGTCGATATTAGTGAGGGAAAATCAAAATTATGTGAACTTCTTGGCGAAATAGTGAGCAGAAACGAAATTCAGAGATCTAGTTTTTGCGGACATTATTCCAGGAGTGTAGATGGCCATATATCACTGCGAGTATGTTAATAATGCATTTGTCACATTGCTTAAATATGTACAATGCATGTATTATCTTTGGAGCAAAATGGAGGTCGCCAACTTAAAAATAGATCAATAGATTAAAATAGATTATCTATGCAACCAGTTCAAATTTCTGGATAAATGTGTAAACCGAGGAACTGATCACATATTTGAATCAAATGTTTATGGAGAAGTATATCTGATGGGTCGATTATCAAGTTTTTGCTCCATTGATTGCAAATGGAATCCGATTGAAAGCTGTTCAGAAAAGAGACAACTTCATGTACAGGAAGTAATAATGATGAAGTCTTCGGAAATAACAAACAGATTCCGATGGGAGCAGATTCCTGCCTGAACACATATTTTCACTGCCACTGTCTCCTCTAGAAGTTTCCACCATTTTATCTATAAATTAACTCTGACCATTCACTGAGTTACTTAATGACTTTAATCCATTTCTTCTGTTTCATTATGATGACAAGATTTGTTGAGTAACCTCTCAGTTACAACAGATTTGAAGTGTCTTCTACACTTACGCTTAGATTAATGTTCCAGTTCAGGGTGTTTGTAGCTGAACAATAACCACTCGTATAAAATAAGCTTGTTTCATCCTGCAAACACATTCGTTTTCAAAATATTATATCCGGCGAGGAAACCAGATCAAAAGTGTGACCACATGAAATAACAACACCATGAAATGCAATTGAAATATTTGTGATTATAATCATAGTTAAATGTCAAGTGGCGAAACAATTATTGTCATGTATAGAATAATACATAAGGTGTATAGGTGTTGGAAATAGGTGAATAATTATAGGATTAGGAGGTGAATATATGCACAATCCCTACTCCTGCTCTGGCCGTAGACGGATAGACATTTATTTATTTATGTTTTATGTTTATTTAGTTATCATATGTACCTTTCCCTTACTACTCCGATTAATATTATTATAACTATCCTAACTGTGAATTGTTTCCATTTATCCCATTGTCATTCTAAATTCAAAAATTTCTTTTTTACGAAATTGAGGTCTGCCTTATCAAATTTCACACCGCGTTATGTAACATGTTATATTCGCCTTTTCATCCTATAATTATGCACCCATTTCCAACATCTATACACCATATGTTTTATTCTATATATGACATTAATTGTTTCACCACTTGAAACTTAACTATGATTATAATCACAAATATTCGTTTTATTCATTAGTAGACTAAATAAGAGAAATGGGCGTATCGGAAGTAACCAATATGTTTATACAGCTTTCGCCAGCACAAAGTACACATACTCTCTTCATTATTAACATTCAGAATGAATCATTCACACAACATCAAGATTTCATTGGCTCACATCTGAAACTTCTCTCGGATTATCCCACATTTTCAATAACCGATACATTCAGTCTGTCTAATCATCCTACCTTTCTCAGTTCCGCTGAGTTATTTAAAAGAGAAGGAGTAGGTGTAAAAATGACCACTTTTTATATTACCATAATTGAAGGGTGAGGTCGTATTTTCTCAATACCTAATTACGCGAAATGATTTACCAATAATCAGAATTTACTTCAATTCCCTTCACTTTTAACATTGGTTCATCACACAAAAAATTCTTTCCACTTCACTTATCAAAGATTCTGTTATACTGTTTGCACTCCAGGCATACACGAGAATTCTCGCCGCCATATGTTTGTGTTTTGCAGCAACTCTGGTGAGTTACACGTCATTTTTCCTTCAGTGAAATATTGATTGTGTTGTTGTTTAGAAGTGTTGGTAACGTAAAGTTCAATACCACCCCGTGACTAGAGAAAATCAAAGGATTCAAACGTTGTGAGATACGTAACATTCTAAGCTCACTGAGGCACAGATTCAGGCTAAAACACTGGTCATTAACAGACACAACTATTATCCGAAGACATTGTATGAAGTGAGATTCCATATTCCTCGGCTCGTCACTATGATTAATAGGCACAATATTTCATTGTGAACAGTTACACTGCCCAATGAAAGAAACTTTATAGATAATTCCACTGAAGTGTTGTCATAATCGGAATTTCTGACGTTCCAACATTTTTCTCTATAATTAATTTTACAATAAAGAACACAGGTGAAATACGGTGGACTTATATTTCAACAGTATTGTCAATCGTGTATATGTCTGTTGTGACGCCTTACCATAAACTGATCGCCTGTACTGGACTTACGTCTCATGAGTATCATAATTTTGAGTTTTTTTTGTAATAATGTTAACGCAGATTCACCAATCACACAATGTGTAGAATATGGATCCTGAACTCAGCAGACAGGTGCTCCTTCAGTCGTGTGAAATCGGCAGGTTTTATAATATTGCACTTGAGTTCATGATTTTCCATCTGACACCACAAACACTCAGGGAAGTGTGTGATGTACTCCAAGTAGCTAATCTTTGTTATCATTACTCTTATTATCATTACCATTGTTTGTGCTTCCGAATGGAACATATGACTTCAGAAGAGCATCTTTATGTTATATTAACTTGTTTATTAGATATATTCCACATTGGAAAAGTATTATTTACTGGGTGATGTGTCGATCACATTTCAATAGATCGTAGGGACTTTTCGCGGGAAACCTGCTTAGTTTCTGGAGTCTTCAAGCGATAAAAACAATTTAAAATACGCCTTTATATACTTAACTGAAATACCGAACGGTTAATAACACCGCGTCAATTATCACTGAAAGTATCACAGAACCTCGTTAACACCGGAGGCAGCTGCTAACGAAACTTTGAAGTGTTTGAGTGCGTCGAGTGTCTTAATTATATTGGAGCACTGACGTTGATGTCTATGTTAGAAATTGGAATCCTATTCGTAATGATGAGTGCTATAGATATACACAGTGGTTCTCAGAGTAATAAACCCTGTTTTCTTTCACAACCTGATCATGACTGGATTTGGCGTTTTATTCCGCGCTGGCTGCCTGTGACAAGGATGGAGCTGACTAAACCAGGTAAGTGGTAACAAAACAGTCGACTTTCCCTGTACTTCTCCTAATGATAGGGGTAAATATCTATTACTGTGGGTCTGGTATATTTATCACCTCCTCTGACCTCTCTGTATACACTAATATCCTGCCGTCTCTGTCTATTCTCACAACGTTTCGGTTTTCGATTGAAAAAATCCAAGTTTGTCCAAAGTGTGATATCGATCTTCTGTGAAGCCCTAATCTAATAGGTTATGTTTGGCCTTCCAATGTATTTTCATCTTCTCACATCGCACAGCATACCATCTGACCCAGTCCGTCATGATTGGGAATATCACCGATGACACTGGGTAGACACATCTTCCTCTAATATTTGCTTCAATCGTTTCGCTGAGTTTCCCGTCGTAAATCATTTCACACGTGGCATCATAATGTACCTTCTGAACGAGGTTTCTAATTGTTTGTGACACCACACTCCGTTATGTTGACATATCTGCCAAACTGCTTCACAACCGTCGCTGTTGAAAGTCTTTCCAAAGTGAATGAATTTGAGATGCTGAGTTGACTGTCATTGTAGGGTCTACCATATGCAGCGCCTTGTTGCGATCTGAATCTCTTTAAGATCACTTTGCATCCATTAGGTCTACTGCAGAAGGAGACCAGCACGCAGAGCCTCATTCATTAATTCCATACAGTGACTTTCGAATATTTCCTTTTGATTTTTTTTTAATTTTTGATTTACAGCTTGATTCCACATTGTATTTTCGGTACAAGTATGGAATTTTCAGCATAGATATCGGTAGCCCAAATTTTGCAGGCCGACCATAGAAATCAGGTGTGCGTCGGTGTAGGCTCGAACCCCGGACCATGTGCATGGTCGGCGAGATTCCTAACCACTGTGCCACCGACGCACAGGAGCACGATTCTCAGCCTGTATTCATCTAGGCTTGGGGAACCAGGCAGCCTTCGACACGATACTCATGGAAACATGTTGAAATATACTGAGTGAGGAAAATTACATCGTAATGAGTGTACAGTACAACATTCAGCTATCAATTGTCGTACATACGTACTCCTATTTATGATCACATACACTTATAAACAATACTTCAGAGTTTTCATAGAACTTACTGATATCGAACGACTGGTTTCTGATGTAAATTTCTCATTCCTTCCATTCTCCCCTAAGATTTTGTTTACCGCAGTTTGTGGACTGAAGAAACAATTACGAGAACTGTCCTCCCGGTTCATGAAGTTACTGGAGCTTTTCAGTATATTCGTAACAATTATTGGACTCTTCGTTGCAATGTCACTTTGCTTTGATTGAGGAGTGGATAACAAAACTAAAGACCATAATTTCCATTAATATTCTGAACTCTTAAATTATGTAATATTTCCACTTTAAATAATCCATAATAATTCAATAGCCACAACGACATTTTATGACATTTCAAATAGAATGAATGGTGAATTCTATGTACGTTACCACACTACTCTCATTAAGAGCTTAGATAATAGGTCTATATGTTCATACGCTTATGATGAATTGTTAGTTCAGCAAATCTGACTATACAACTATTTGTTCTGATTAATTTTCATCAAAACAAGTGGAAAGTCCCCTTCGTCTTCGTATCCACGAACATAAGCTAGCCGTCAAATGACATGATATCCACTCCCTTATATCGCTACATACAGACAACCACGGACATCAATTCGACTGAGACAATGTTCAAATATTAGACAGAGGAAACAACAAGAATGCTGGAGAATTTTTAGAAGCTTGGCTGGTATTCCAGTGAATCATCAATCAATAGACACATAGAAATAGACAAAATTTATGAACCGATAAGAAATAAACTTCACACACAAAGGGTCAAAGTTCAAGCCAAGGAAACAATCAGTTTCAATACAAGTAACCTAAAAGGTATGAAAACACACAAAAACAACCAATCACGTCCAAGATCAGCCGCCAAGAGAGATGATTAATAAACTCGTGGAGAAATCTAAAAGCTCACTTCAAACTAAAGTATGCGCTGAAGATGTCACCCAGTAGGGTGAAGAAAGCCTCGCAAATCGACCATCCAGCTCAGAGAACGCAAGCACATCAAAATCATTTCAACACTGTTTGTTTTCTCGCTTTATAACTGATACTTTTCAAGTTGAATCGTAGCAGTGTTCCTTGGTCGCCTAAAACTATATCATCCTTTCCAATTTCTATAAAGTCACCATTCAGGAACTGGGTTTGTTGTGTTGCTGCATATTAATGATTCCCTGTCTGGAATTCACCTGCGATTTCTACCATATTAGACGCTGTTTGGTTTCCCAGGAACAATCCTCGATGTGAGATGTTGTGAAGAGATGATTTTGACGGTTGCATTTAAGATAGCAATAGGTTCGCAAGTGTTTACGATTACTTACAGAGACTTGTGAGTGTTCATCGATTATAATGGAGGTATTGTGAAGACAAAGTGTTTAACAAATTACACTCTACCAGAAGAAGAATAGAGACATAAAAGATGCAACGTTAGATGAAGAGTGGAAGGCGTTCTTGTTTTCTTATTATTCCGTTCCTTATTTATAGTGAAGAGTATGGGATCAGTAAAAGAGTAGTTGGTAATCAAGTTTCTTCTGTATACATATCCCTTTCTTATCCATTCCACTAACTTAAATCTCAACAATACACATGAGGTGAACTAGAAGTGACATCAACAGATTTTGCATACACGTGAAAATACCTTCAAAAGGGTTAAGTTGTAGCATATAAGTATACACAGTCTTTTGATTGTAGACGTGTTTGGTTACCACTCATTTCATTATATGCATCCTGAACGTAACACAACTACATCTACGTATTTTTCTTCTTTGCACCCTACTTACTTCACACAATTTCGTTATTTTCTCAAATTGGCTGTACCGTTCAGTTACTCCTTGAGCACTACCTCAGCATATACAAACGATTTTCCTAACTTACTCTAGCACAGTGATTTCCGTTTGTCTAGAATAAATACTCATATCGATAATGATAGCAGGACGAAACATGCAGTATAAAATGATATCATTCTTCTTCACAGGTTTGCATAAGCTGCTGACTACCTGAAATTACAATATAGATGATTATGAGATACTTTAATGTTTGATTAGTAGTACAGAAGAGATACTACAAAACTTGACGCATCAAAAATGACAGCATTAAACTGTTTAGTGTAAGTTTTCATCACCAATTTATACGCTTTTAAAGTTGAAAAGAGGGGGGATGTTAAAGAGGAAAACAGAAAAATTAATCAACAGAAGAGTGTAGCTTGCAGGTTCATAGCAACTCATTATTTTGGAGCTTGCAGGAAACACTTATTCTCTAAAACAAAATGACTCAACGGTCAGTGTTGATTAAAATTTCTCTGAGTTTGGATCTTTGAATTATATGAATGAATATTTCGACACTGGACTGATACTTATCCTCAAGTAACCACATACTCGGATAGTTAATTATTCCTAACAACCATAGTACAGTGTTATCGCATCTTTCATTACTTCGATTATATTTTGATTTTTCATTTACTTACTGTGTGTTTCATTATATCCGCCATAAATGTGACATCTAATAATAAACTAGTTGATCAAATGAGACGTACAAGACATAAAATGGTTTCCACTGCACTTTCTAAGTAAAAAAACTATATTGCTCAGTTTGCCAACTATTTATGCAATTCCTCACAAATTTGTGTACTTTCATATGAAATAAGTTCCCCTTCT